ACGCTTGTCCACTGTTGGCGGGAGTGTAGGCTGGTTCAGCTTCTGTGGAAACAGTGTGGAGATTCCTCAAAAAACTACGACTAGCAGCTTCATTTGACCCAGCTATTCTGTCTTGGTATCTTAATTTTTTAAAATTTATTTATTTGACACAGGGTTTCACTATGCAGTTCAGACTCACAGTGATCCTCCTGTCTCAGCCTCCCAGTGCTGGAAGTACAGGCATGCCTGGGACTCTGGGGCACACACGGCATGAGGTACTGAGGATCGAACTTGGGCCCGTGCACTTGCCAGACAGGTGCTTAGACCACTGAGCTATCTCTGCAGTAGCTCCCCCCATCTTGGTATCTTTCTGAAAAAATTGAAAGCATCACACCACAGCTACAAGTGCACACCTGTGTTTACAGTAGTTCGTAACAGCCTTGACTTGGCAACAGCCCAAATGCCCATCAGCTGGTGAGTGGATAAAGAAGATGCGGGTTTTTAATTCAGCGGAGTACTACTCTGTCACAAAGAAGGATAAACCCGAGATATTTCTTGCTAAATGGATGCACCATGAGGCCATACACTTAAGTGAAAGCAATTGGACACACGTGTGTGAACACCACATTGTTTTTCTGGTGTGAGACACTGAAAGCATAAATGAGGGCGTGCAGGACGTGTCTAATCCGTGGGTGCAGCCTGAGACGGTGCTCGGAAGCGAAATGAGTCAGACCGCGTGTGCAGAGGTGCCGTCTCACTAGCGTGGGAGGCTGAAAGAGTGAATAAGGCACACAATGCGTGATGGGTGTTGTGAGGCAGGGAGAGAATGTTCACGTGGGAAAGCGGATTAGGAGGGGGAGGGGAGAGCAGGGGAGGGGGGAGGGGAAGAAAAGCGAAGAGCAAAGGCGAAATGGAAACGGAACTTTTGCACATAAGAACGGGGAGAGAGGTGGAAGGAAGAGGGGTGTGGGGCAAAAGAAGAGCCCAGTTACGTCACATGTGGGCGCGCATTCCCTAGAAAGGTGATCATTACGTATTCCTAAAGTACAATAAAAATAAAAATAACACAAAGCCCACATCGGTGCTATTTCATAATTACAGCCCATGTCACAAGTCCGGAGTCAGATGGAAACAATGGGACACACTCGGTCAGTGTCACCCTCCACGGTCCTTACTGCCTGAGCTGATGGATGGCTGTGCAGTCCCTCTGTGGGGCACGGCTGTGTGCCCCCCACCAGGATTGAGGGGATTCTTGGCCCTCTACTGGAGCCACTGTCCACAAGCCCCACTCCTCCTCTGCCGAGGCCCGGGGTGCATGGGCCGTGCTGCCCAGGGCCATGCAGGTGTTTGGGAGCAGGCCCGGCTCAGGCCGCACCAGGAGCCGCATCTGCTGGCCATCCTGCCTCGTTTCCAAACTGGGTCTGTCCGGCAGCGGGCTCCAGCTCAGCTGGACCACTCGCCCTGGAAACTGTCATCCAGAGACCTGGCCAGGGCTGAGGCTGAGGAGGCTGATGGAGCCTGCGGCCCTGCAGAACCTGCTGTGCAAGAGGAACCGGCTGACCCACCCCGCAGGCCTTGGCCGAGAGGCCCTGAAGCTTCAGGCAGCAGACACCTCAGCTGAAGATGCTGGGAGCAGCCCCTGGCGTGTGCAGCCGGGGTCCCAACAGGCCCGTGAGGACCTCCAGGCTGAACCCCAGGCACACCCTGGCCCCAGCTCAGCCAGTGCCAGGCGTCACGCCTGCTGCCTGTAGGCATCGTCCTGCGACACCAGATGCAGCCACGTCCAACTGGAGGTGGGTGGGCCGCTCGGCCAGTCTGGGGCAGCAGGCCAGGTCGCTGGCAGTCGCCCAGAAGAAGGAGGGAAATTGAGTCACGTTACTGAGAGTGACTGTTCAGCCGGCTTGCGATTTCTAGGGCCGCAGGTCATATTGTCGGCAGCGTCAGCGTGGCTGCCTCCCGTGACCGCTGAATCCTGTCACAAGCTAAGAGTCTCTGCTGTAATTTCTACTTTCCATATACTTTCAAAAAAGCCAGTTGTCAGGACACTCTTCGGGTGTCTCTTTAAAAGCTCAGTGCCGTGTCCAGGGATGGACATGCAGACACTCTTGGGACGTACTCTTCACTGACAGGACTTTGGCTAGCGAGATTAATTTCTTGTAAAAACTCCAAGACACAAGGTGTGTGTCTACCCATAAGGTGAACTCCAGCTGCAGGATCGATCAGGTGGATGGGAGAGGGAAGCTTCTTCCACTTAGCTACTAGCCAGAACACTCACGTTAGAACAGAACGGCTCCTACACGGACACTCCTTGGCAAGGGCTAATGCTGAACAGCTGCTCATTGTAGCGCCTTTTCTTGTCTTTGCTGGATGAACTGACCCAACCCTAAAGAAGCTGTCACAGCTTTGCAGCTTCTGAGGTTAGCGACTTAGCACCTTCGCTGGGGTGGGAAACACTGCCCACCCCTGTGGGGCTGCAGCGGCCACATCCAGAGGCTGGGCTAGCGGTGCCGGGCAACAGCTGAAACATCCACGCCTGTGTCGAAAAGCCCTTGAGACAGGGTTTTCCTTCAATAGGCAATTTCATCTTGGGGCGATTTGTTTAACCTGTTGAACCCAGTAGGTGTCAGAAGACCCAAAGCCCTTGGATCCCTTTTCCTTATTGTGAATTTCCTAGTTATTACCAAGGGAAAATGACCAATTGCATGATCCAAGAGTCTGGGGTGATTAAATAATGTTCTGAATAACGGAATTTTAAAAAATGTATTTAGTACAGGGTCTACAGGGTCTCACTACACAGATTGGACTCATACTAATCCTCCTGTTTTCAGCCTCCCAAGCACTGGAATTACAGGTGTGTACCACCATGCCCAGTCTTAATTGCTGTCTCCTGCACCCCGGGGATGGGCCGGCACGCTGGAATTTTTTTATGTAGCCTGAATCAATGGGCAAAACCTGGAGATTTCTTTGCAGCCTCTGGCTGCAGCTTTCATTTCGTTGCCTGGGGTGGAGGAGCTGCCACCAGGGGCTCCACTGTCCTGCTTTTACTCTTGGGAGTAATTCCACTCCCGTGCTCCACCTCCCCAAGCCACGTGGTGGTTACCACCTCTGTAGCCACGGCCGGCCGCTGGCTGGGAGGAGGGGAACAGGACATGCACAGCCGCTGTGTGCGCTGTCACCTTTTCTCTGACTGCCGGATGTCCGTTTTTCGCCCAGATTTCAAGCGCAGGCACTGTTTTGAGCCAAGTGAGTTTTCAGTGCCGATGGTGCACGCGCCAGCAGTGGGGAGAGCCAGGGTGCTCCACAGTCATGAGCCTCCTGGTTAGCCTGGGTGCACAGGCCTGGATTTGTCTTTCAGTGGTTTGTTTTTTTTTAATGTTTTTTGTGCAAGGTGTCACTGTGCAGCTTGGATTCATAGTGACCCTCCTGTCTTCAGGCCTCCCACTGCTGAGAGTCCAGGTATAAACCACCATGCCCCCAACTTGGTCTCAGGCTCATCACGCCTGGGGATGGGGCCTGTGCAGCCTCTGGTACCAGGGATGGAACTCTAGTCCCTGAGTTCGCCTAAGCAGATCCTTAGTGTGCTGAGCTGTCTCGTCAGCCCTCACAGGCCTGTATTTGGTGTTCTCATACAGCCACGGCGAGAACAGGCCTGCACACGCTGGAGCGGCTGGGCCGTCCCAGCTGAGCCCACTTAGGGCCGGAGGGTGGGTCCTCCCTGAACCCAGTCTGTCCCCTCATTGCTTGATGGGGCGAGGCAGCCCCAGTGGGAGGCTCCCAGAAAGGGTCAACTTCTCACCTTAGTTTTATTTTATTTATTTATTTATATTTTTTTGGTGGGACCGGGGATTGAACTCAGGCCCTTGCGCTCATTCTGCTGAGCCATATCCCTGGCTCTGGGATCGGCGAGACCTAGATTCACGGTCAGCTCTGCCCTCCCACGAGCTGTGTGACCTTCATGCGGCGCTACGTCTCTGCTTCAGCTTACGCACCAAAGTGACGGCACTGATGAGCACCTCACCGGACGTGGTGTCGCACTCTCGGATTCCCAGCCCTCAGGAGGCTGAGGCAGGAGGATCACTGCGAGTTTGAGACCAGCCTGGGCTACCAAGTGAGCCCAAGGCCAGCCTGAACTGCACAGGGAGACCATGTTTTGAAAAGACAACAACAACATCCTCTCACAATAGGTAGCATTTTAGGCTGTGTGGGCTGTAACATCTTTTCTGAGCCACCTGCCTCTGCCCTCACGTAGCGGCCACAGAGTATACGCAGCACAAGCCAGGCACAATTTGATTATTTTATTTTATTATTTGTATTTAGTACAGGTCCACAGGGTCTCACTACACAGATCGGACTTGTAGCGATCTTTCCTGTTTTTCAGCCTCCGGGGCGCTGGGATTACCGGCGCGCCGCCCGGGGGCGGGGCCGGCACTGCAGCCGGGGATCGAACCCCCACCCCTGCGTCTGCCCAAGCAGGCGCTTCGATCCGCTGACCTGTCGGGCCGGTCCAGCGCACAATTTGGGCCTCACACATGTGCATACGCGCACTCACCGCAGCTTACACACGCACACACTGTCGGTGTACACAGTTCACAGCACCCAAAGGCGAGGCAGGGTTCCCAGGGGTCAGACTTGCGGAGCAGCGGGTGGTCTCCATGGCAACGTCGCAGTGCGCCCGCCCTCGTAGGCGCAGTTGTCCGGGAGGAGCTGGCGGGCCGCGGAGCCTTCTGGGAAATGTAGTCCGTACCCACTCGGGAACCTCGGGGCTCCCCATTCACCGAGAGACCCCACTCACGACCTGGAGGAAGCTATTTTCTTCCCGCTCCGGGTCAGCTTCTGTCCAGACCCGATAGATTAGAGCCAGAGAGACTGCGACCCTCTTTCTGGGCGTGACTCCCCACCGCATATCACGCCCCGGAGCATTCTGGGAGTCGCAGGCTAAATTCGAAGCGTGCGCGCTCATCCGGAGCGCAGCCGGTTCGAACCCCGCTGAAACCAGGGACTAAGGGCAGTGAACTGTGGGAGCTGGGTTTGGGTGAACAGATCAGTGTAGGTCTTTGGCATCTAAGCGCGGAGTGACCCCTTGAAGTGTGGGGAGCCAGGGTTGGCGCTCTGTAAAGCCACCTGATTTTGCACAGCTGGTGACTGGAAGCAGCTTTGCGCTGATGGTGGGAATGTAATCTAAGGCCGAGGGGGCGGGGCCTCGGTCCGGGGGCTAGCTCTGTGATTGGTGAACGCCTGCGCGCCAAGGGGCGGGGCCTCGCGCACCAGGGCCTGCCCTCGGGGCGGGGCCTCAGCCCAGAGCCCGCCCTGGGGGTGGGGCCCTGAGCACTACGTGTTGCTATAAGGGTAGGGCCCAAGGGCTGGGGTCTCCCAGGCGGTGCTGGAGAGTAGTCTGTACCCAGTGGACAGTCAGAGACGCAGGCGAGAGACGGCTGGTGGGTATGGGCTCTGCGATCGCTGACTGCGTGGGACAGTGGGCCCCACACTGTGTCCCACGACTGCGTGGGGTGGCCGGCGTGCTTGACCCTCCTGGTGCTGCTTGCAACTCAGTGGGCGCGCTCGAGTGGGTGCGTGGGGCTTGTGAGCACAGCTCTGCCCCTGTGACAGCAGCGAGGCTGTTCGGTGAGCCCGTTGGTGGCCGTGGGTGCGAGGGACGTGTTCTGTGGCCGGGGTGAGCAGCCTAGTGTTACTCATGGAGTTCCACAGAGCCCAGGGTGAGATCAGGGCACGTTGCTTTGGATTTGTGTGTATGTGCCACGCTGTGGCCCGTGGTCACTGGGCGGCCGTGCCACCTGGCTGCTCCACTAGCACGTGGCCAGGGTCGTCTGGGAGATGCCACAGTCCCCGCTGCGTGTGCGAGTGGTCGTGTGACTGCAGGAGCGCCCTCGCGGGCACCTGTGGACATTGGTGCGTGGTGTAGGCGAGGTCCAGCCTGGGAGCTGGACAGGGGTGACGCTGTGCCCGGTGCTGGTTTCACGTTTCACCATCGGGGTGGCTGAGATGCGCTGCGGAGCTGGCGCTGAGTATTTTGGTGGATTTAGACCTGGCTGCGGCAGCGGAGAATCCCAAGGGAGTCTGGAGCGAGGAGCGTGTCCTGCGGCGCAGTGGCGCCCCTGCTGGCCGGGCCTCGCCTCTTGTGGGGTCTGCGGGGAGCTCGCCTGGCTCCCTGCCGGGGCTGCAGGGGCGGTGGTGACCCCTCGCCAGGCGCTGGGGATCAGGCTGCGCGCGCGAGTGGTGCAGGGACCTCCGTGGTCCCTGGCGCGCCGCAGCCTTTGCAACCGACCCTGCGTCTTGAGAAAAAAGACTGCTCACTGATTTTGTTATTTATTTATTTATTTATTTATTTCTACTTTTCTCTAGATTTCTAGTTTTCCCAATGGGAAGAATAGCCCCGGTTTGTGCCGCCCGCCAGGGCACAGGCGCGAGGGCAGTGGCCTGATGGCCGCGACCTGCCTCTGCTGCGTGGCTGCAGTGTGGAGCGCTTGATCCGCCTCAGCGCAGCGCTCGGCACCCAGGACGGCTCTGCTGAGCAAGGCGCAGGTACCCAGGACCCCGGCAGGCAGCGGTGCTGGAGAGCAGGATCGTGGGGGGCCAACTGTAACCCCGGAAACACAGCGTACACGGCCAGGGCCCTGGCGGGAGCTCTTACCCTGAGTGCGCAGGCCTAAAGGTAGTCCCCTGAGGGCAAGGAGCAAGGCAGGTCTGTGATTTGGACAACGGTCTTGTAGAAAACAACATGAGACATATAATTTTAAATATTGCAGTAACCACATTAAGAAAAAGATTAAATAAATTCATCATTAAAATTCATTTTAACAACATAATTAATGGAAATTAAAATTGCTTTTCGGGCTGCTCTGGCCTTCCTTCCACTGGTCAATTGTCACCTGTGGCTGGTGGCGTTCAAGAGGGACAGAAGGGGCGTGGCGTCGCTCAGGGACAGAGTCCTCTAGGCAGGCGGGTAGGAGGCCACGTCAGGAAGTGGTTTGCCCTGCGGCTTGCCTGTTGTCACTCCCAGAGGACCCCAGCCCCCAGGACAGAGTCTAGACACCCAGTGAGTGTGTCATGTGGATGAGCCACGCGTTCCCCGTGCTCCTGCGCCTGAGCCTTCCCTGCTCTGGAGGTACAGATGCACGGCAGTGCAGCCGCATGGACTTCTGAGCCTGCTTTTCACGCTCACCACATGTGCGAGTGTCCTGTGAGAGCGGGGGAATTGGGCACTCACGACTCTCTCCACCACAGCCCCGCCTTCCTGACCTCTGTGCTTCTCTGAATGTGAGCCTCGCGGAGGGGAGAAGATGCTGGCGACTGGAGGGAAAGCCAAGCCCAGGCCCACGGTCAGTGGTGTGCGCCCCTGGCGTGGGAGCGCTGCATCCTGTTGGGTGGCTGGGGACATCTACTCTCCTTCCAGAGAGATTCCTGCAAGCCTGGCCCATTGCCTGACAGGCCCAGAACCGGTTCTGCTGGTACCCAGGGCCCCTCACCATTCCTTTAGCATCCACAGGGCTCTCTGTGTGGGGAGGAGCCCTCCCCAAGGGAGGCCAGAGCCTTGTGGGTCCCCTGGTGAGGATGAGGGGTTCAGCGTAGGCTTAACCAGCCTAGGCTTGCTGCTCCTCTCCCACGAGGCCCATGCTAGTGCAGGAGAATTTTCCCTGGCCAAGCCGGCCAGGTCAAGCCTGAGCTCTCCCCGTGTGATGGTCAGCTGGTTAGAGGCCTTGGCTGCAGCTGCAAGGAAGCTTTCGTCCCGTGTGAAGTGTCCGTGTGCTCTCTGCAGAGCGCAGGCTTAGGGGCTTGCGTCAGAGCCGGACCGCCCTTCTGGAGCCAGCTCCTGTGCTGAGGAGTGCCGTGACCTGCAGCCAGTTCCCTCGCAGCTCTGGGCCTCGGTTTCCTCATCTGTGTCCATGCTGTGGCCCCGTTGGCCTTGGCAGTGGGTGTGAACCGATGCAGCCAGGTGCTTAGAAAACGCCTTGAGTTTGTCAGTGTGCCGTTGATCCGCGTTGCTGTGGCATTTGTGTGGCACAATCTTTATGAGACCATGCTGCACTGCAGTTGCTTTATTTACTGCACGTGTCCCTTCGGCTGCAGCATCCCCAGCTCCTGCTGAGCCTTCCTGGCACCGCATTTCCATGGTGGGGATGTGTCCCTCCAGGCCTCCGGACGCACAAGCGCATGGCACGGGGGTGTGTGATCTCTTGTTTCATTTCAGGCTCCAGTGGCGTTTTCAGACTTGACCATCTGCTTCTCCCAGGAAGAGTGGGGCTGGCTGAGCCCCACTCAGAAGCTTTTGTACGAAGAGGTCATGTTGGAGAACTACCAGAACCTGGTGTCGGTCGGTAAGGTTCGGCTCTCCACCCATCCACAGCCAGTCTGGGAGAGGCTGCAGTCTCAGCGTAGACGGGCCTGCGGAGGCGTCCCTCGTTATAGGTGTTAAAAATAGCTTTATTGACTATAATTCACTCTATTATGATTTGTCCATAATACACAACTCTAGCTTTTAGCATATTCACAGGGTAATATATCTATCGCTACGGTCAATATTAGGACATTTTCATTGTTCAGAAAGAAGCCCTGCACTCTTTATCAATCGCTTCTCGTTTCCCTGCCAACTTACTGCACCAGGTGAGGTCGCTGCTGGCCCTCTTTCTGTCCCTGTGAGTTTGCCTGTTCTGGGCCTTGCGTACCAGTTGGCCTGCGTACGTGTCGGCCTGGTGCCAGTCGGCCTGCGTGCCAGTCAGGAAGTAGCTTCTGCTGCTTAGCCTGATACAAGGAGCTGACAAGTGCCATTCCGAGGTGACGTGACACTCATGTAACACAGATACGGTCACCAATTCTGGGGTCCGGGGGCTAAGGCACAAGCCGCAACACCTGGCCTCTGGAATTTCGGACCTACTGGCTCTACACTGCGGGTTCCTGTGGTGCCCCTCCTGAGGTCTGATCATCTGCGAGGGGAGCGAGGGGAACTCAGGGACGCACTTGCCTTAGGGTTGCCACTTTAGTATGGCAGATACGTTGGAGGACCCGGTGAACGTCCCTAAAGAGATGTGTGCGGCCCCTAGGCGGGGAGGGTTGTGGCACTCCTGGGCTCCTCCGTGCTCACGCCCTGGAGGCCCTGCAGATCCTGTCCTGGGTGCTCAGAGGCTGCGCTGTGTGCGCCAAGACTTTGGGTGGCCTGCTTCTAGCGCTTCCGCTCTCTGGAGTTGGGGGCACCAGACCTCACACACTCGAGTCTCCTATTTGCTTACAATAGATGCTGCTCCAGAGCGGGGACGGGGTTGGAGACCACATAACCCACTCCTCAGAGGTCACAGCGTCCTCGCCTGTTCCCCAGCTGCCCTCCACGTGCCGTGTGCCACACCATGCCACTCAGCCTCCTGCTGTTGATGCAGGGCTGGGCCGACCTCTGGTCCCCACTCATGGTCCCTTCCCATGGTGTCCCCTGTCCAGGTCTTTGCACTCGGAAGCCCCATATCATCACCTTACTGGAGAAAGGAAAGGATCCCTGGATTGCAGAGCCACTGAGGAAACGCGGGGGCCCCGGTGAGTGAGGGGCACGTCGTGGTGTGTCTCACCCATCAGGCTGCAGCGCTGGCATCAGGCGCGGGGCGGCTGTGAGCCGGGGGATTCGCTGCTCACTGTCCCGAAAGCTGGAGGGCTGAGGTCAAGGCACGGTCAGTGTCTGGCTCGTAGGCTGCGCCTTCCTGCTGTGTCCTCGTGTGGCGGGTGAGGGAGCTCTCTGGGCCTCCTCCAGGGCTCCGGTCTGTCCCAGGGCTCTTCCCCAGGACCTGATCCCCTCCTGTCACCATGGGGTGAAGGATCCAGCCTGGGCACGGTAGGCCAGACACAGCGTTCGGGCTGTCGCAGCATAGGAGATAGCCTGCGCAAAAGCTGTGAGATCTTGAGGGGCTGCGCACGATCTGAATGACCCCACCCCACCCCTCAGAACCCCGAGGCCTGTACAGAGCAGCCAGGGTTCAGGGTGAGTCCTTAGATGGAGAATAACCAGCGATGGTGAGCCCCGTCTTGGGCCTGGGTGCTTGGGTGAGCTCTTCCCAGAGCTGCTGCAGGAGCTGCTGGTACTGGCTCACGGAGCAGACTGGGCCCAGACAGGCGCAGAGACTTGCCCTGGGGAGCACAGGGTTGGGGTGGAAGCCTGGCCCCACTGTGTTCCCTGTACTGCTAGTAGTCCCTGCATCTCTGGTTTCTCATGATAGCATGAGTCATGGTTGTGTGCCAGTGTGTATCATTTTAAAAAGTGTGACTCCCCCCAACTCTTCATTTTGGGTACTTTTCAAGGACTCGATTCCTTTGCAGAGAGAGTCCTCTTTGGTGGCCTAGTCCTTCATCACTGATTGCGCATCTGTCTGACACGGTTCATGCTGTGGGAGGACCTGGGGTTGCAGTGTGACAGTGGGAGCCGGTAGAACGGTCCCGCCTCAGGGGTCCAACTTGGAGGACCTCCGGCTTCGGGGGGCCTGGCAGGAAGCACCCGGCTGGCAGGATGGTGAAGACAGAGGGGCGCGTCTTTGTTAGCAAAATACTGTTTCTAAGCTAACTGATGAAATTTAGCCCTATGACATAAAATTAGAAAGAGTCAAAAGTAGTCACATAAAAAAAAATGGGGCTGGGGAGATGGCTCAGTGGAATAAGCACTTCTCTGGCAAGTGCAAGGGCCTGAGTTCAATCCCTGGTTCTGGAAAAAAAAAAAAAACCAGAAACGAAAAAGTAGTCACATGGGGTGATCAGTAACTGCTCGTCTCATGACATTGTCACGGTCATCGTAGTTCTGCTCTTTTCACATTTTGTTCTAGTGGTGATGTTGTAGGAGAAGCCTGTTACATTGCCTTTGCTGCTTCGATTTTCATTTCTGTTATTAGTGGGAACGCAGGTAAGTGGTGTTGCCTGTTTTCTGAGTACTGAGTTGCTAAGTATGGTCCCTGTGCCAAGGGGCAGGACTGGACTGCTTTTCACATTCCGGATAGTTTTGAATTGCTTTTCGCAACTGTCGCCTTGCTGGTCTTCCTAAGTGTAACACCTGAAGGCTAAAGAAGACTCCTGGTTCTTTTTTTTTTTTGTTTGTTCTAAATATCCAAGCATCAAAAACAAATGCAGCTTCGGTTCCTGGATATTTTGATGCTGGACAGGCAGATAGCGCAGTACAGTATGTGTCAGAAATTTTCTGTCATTTTCAGTTCTCACAAAAACCCCGTGAGGCGGGTAATACATTTGAAAGAGCGCAACGGTGGCCAGGTGGCGCAGCGACCGGCTCCTGATGCCGCAGTGACACATACTTCAACTTGAGTAAATCCCAAGTGTGTTTAAAGCAGAGTCGTCAAGCAGGCGTAATGTTGGCCACATATTCAGTCGAAGTTTTCTTAGTGGCCACATGAAAATACCCCAACAAAAATGCAGGGAAGGTTAATTTTAGTACCATTCTTTTTGTAGCTCAGGGTATCAAAAATGCTGCAACACATAGTCCATATTTCTGCAAGGAGACACTCCGCACACCTCGCCCTGGTGCTCACTTGTCCCATCCTGGTGTTGTTGGGGCCCGAAGCGCGTCCCACCCCAGGCGAGCTGCGCCTCAGTGCTCCGTGGCCGTCAGGGACCAGCGGCCCTGCGCCGGGAAGCACGGTGCGGAAGCCCGCGTTCTGCGCAGTTTCTAGTCCGTCTGTCCCGCAGATGGTTGCCGTACATCGTGAGGCACATTTGTGGCCCACTCTAGGTTGCTTATTTTGAGAAATCACTTATTTGTTCTTTTAAGTCTGATCAGGTAGTTTTGCCCCTAGAATTTTTCCTGCTTCTCGGAGTTCAGTATTTTCACCCCTCTCAATAGCTACTCTCCATTCAGCTGCCACTAGGTTGGTTTGCACTGTTAAAGATTTTATTTCAACAGTACTCTTTTGGGGTGTGTGCTGGTGGGAGCCACTGAAGCCGAAATTGGGCGGGACTAGGCCTTGGTGCCTGAGTGTCAAGCTGCCTCAGGCTCGAGGAAAGCGTCCCGACTAGTCAGTGTCAGCCCTTAGTCACCAGGCGACCTTGTGTCATGGGATACTAACTTTGCAAAGGTATCAATAAACGTCCCTACTGTTGTTCTGGGGTCGTTTGCCAATCAGGCGCAGGCCACCATCAGACTCAGCTCTGTCTTCTTGTCTATTTTTTCCTCATTCCTGCTGCCGTTTCTCCCCGAGAGACCAACAGATCAAACCGAGACACCAATGTACAGTGTGTACTTCATAAAAATATAACTTACATCATAAGATTCACCCATTTTAAGAGAATAATTCAATAGTTTGGTCCTGTTCTGTTTGTCTTACATTTATCAAGTTGGATAGCCGTCCCTGTCATCTAGTTTCCGAACATTTTTGTCACCCTAGTAAGATTCCTGTGCCCTTTGTAGCTAACCCTGTTGCTGCCTTCTAACATGGCAACCACGAATCTTCTTTCTCTGTTGATTTGCCCTTTAGATGACATTTCCTATAATAAAAATACATTTATCTAATGAACTATCTGAAGAGTTGAATAGTGTGTAAAATTTATCAGATTGCAAACTCTCCTGAACTGCAGGTATTAATTAAATTCTTCTAGAAAGCTCTTAGTACAGTAATCGAGGTGATCATAATACCCTAAAAGTTATTAATATAATGATTGTTATATTCAGTAATAATGACTGCACTTTTATTATATAAGCTTTGAACGTCCCACGTTAGAAAGTGGAAGTTCAATTTCTTCTTGTCCTTCAGACCCAGCGTCTAGGTATGAGATCAAGAAGCCACCAACTCCGGTCAGCAGAACGAAGCAAATCTGCCGAGAGCCCCTTTCTATGCAAATGAAGAGCCCCACCGGCAGGAGGGCACAGTTACTCCACAGTAAAGCCGTGAAAGGGGCTCTAGTGACGAAGCCTTTGCAGTGCGAGGACTGTGGGAAGCCCTTCAGTCAGAGATCTTCGCTCAGGCTTCATCAGCAGGTCCACACCGGAGAGAGGCCTTACGAATGCAGCCACTGCGGGAAAGTGTTCAGGCAGATCGCATCCCTCATTCTTCATCAGAGAATTCACAGTGAGGCGAAGAGCTATGAATGCGATCATTGCGGGAAAAGTTTCAGGAAACACATAACCCTCATTCTGCATAGGAGAATTCACCGTGGAAAGGAGACACCTGCTGGTAGGTTGGCCTCGAGTCCCAGCACGTCCCTCAGTGCGCAGGCCAGCAGTCCGGCTGTCGAGAACGCCCTCCAGTGCAGGAAGTGCGGGAAAGCCTTTAGTCGCATGGCAGCCCTTTTACTTCATAGGAGAATTCACAGGAAAGGGAAAATACACAAGTGTAAAGCATGTGGGAAGGGCTTCAGGAAGAGCTCAGTCCTTGCTGCACACAGAAGAATGCATAGCAGAGAGAAGGCCCACACGAGTGAGTCGACCTTGCGTCAGCGCACACAGCGAAGACGCCGCTATTTAGAGAATCCTTTTAAGTGCAAAAAGTGTGGTAAGTCCTTTAATAGGATTTCACCACTTTTGCTTCATCACAAAATCCATACTTCAAAGAAACCCTATAAATGTGATAATTGCAAGAAGGATTTTCAGCGGCTTTCAACCTTTATGCTCCATATAAAAATGCATAAGGGAGAGAGGGCTTTTCGATGTAATAAATGTATGAAGGCCTTCAAGCGAAATTCAACCCTTATGAAACACCTGAAAGTTCATAAGAGGAAGAAGAAGTTTGAGTGTAAAGACTGTGGAAAGATGTTCACTGAAATGGCAAACCTTAAAGTACACCAGAACATACATTCTGAAAAGAAGTCTTTCAAATGCAGTAAGTGTAGTAAGGTGTTTGGCCGCCAGACATTTCTTATTGAACATCAGCGAATCCATACTGGAGAGAAACCCTATCCATGTGAGGAATGTGGGAAAGCCTTCAGTCACCGGATATCACTTACTCGACACAAGAGAATTCACAGTGAGGACAGACCCTACGAGTGTGAGCAGTGTGGGAAGGCCTTCAGCCAGAGCGCCCACCTTGCCCAGCACGAGCGAATCCACACCGGTGAGAAGCCGTACAGCTGCAGAACGTGCAAGAAGGCCTTCACTCAGCGCATATCCCTTATTCTCCATGAACGAAGTCACACTGGAGAGAAGCCTTACGAATGTGATGAGTGTGGGAAGGCATTCACCAGTGGGTCAGACCTTATTCGACATCAGAGAAGTCATTCTTCAGAGAAGCCCTATGAATGTAGCAGGTGCGGGAAGGCGTACAGTAGGAGCTCATCCCTGATTCGACATCAGAGCATACACTCCGAAGAGAAGGCCTAAGGTAGTTTCCTGGTGTGTGCTGCATATGGATTTTGAAATGAGATCGTGATGTACTTCCTAGGTAGCCATGGATTTCCAGGCTTACATGTTTCTCCTGCTTCAGCCTCCCACGTAGCTTTTTTGAAGGCTATAAAAGCTAAGAATGAGGCTATCAAAGAAGCAGTGAGAAGCCTGGGAAAATTGTACAGTTATCCTTGACTTATGATGCAGTTATTTCCTATAAACATCACAAATTGAGCATATCAGAAATGTGTTTGAGCCAGGCATGATGGTGCATGCCTGTAATCCCAGCATTTGGGAGGCTGAGGCAGGAACATTCCCTGGAGGTTGAGGCCAGCCTGTGCTACATAGTAAGCTCAAGGTTAGCCTGAACTATAGTGAGACCCTATCATAAAAAACAAAACAACAAAAAAGTGATACCCCTAACCTACCAAACGTGATACCATCGTGGCATAGTACACAGTAGTGTCCACTCTTCCACTGTGTGGCTGCCTGGTAGCTTCCACTCGCTGCTACTACCCAGCATTGTGAGAGAGAATCATGCTGCTTATCGCTAGCTTAAGGCCACAATCTGCAGTGCAGCTTGGGCTGATTGCACGTTGCTTCTCTTCCTTGTAAAGCCAGGAAACCCTAAGTCAGGTCATTGTAAGGTGGGACCAGCCCGAAGTTGTCCTTAACCCTTGCATACACAGAACCACTAGGTGGTGTGCCTCCATTTGAAAGCCAAAGAGCGAAAGTCCTTGGTGACTTTGGATGCGAGGACTTGAAATCTCCCAAGACAAGCTCAGGAAGTTGGATTAGTCTTTGTAAATGAGAGCTATTTTTCATTTGATATTTTACTTGTAGTGTAGTTTTGAAAATGCATCACTGGCCACATGTGATGAAAGAGAATCGCGAAGTCCAGTTTTGTGGATGGGATTTTGCACCTGATTTAAAGTCCTATGCAGGAAGAGTTTAATATGTCTATTCCTCAGAACTGGACTTTCTGCAAGGGCTTTGCTGGCAGACGAGGGTGCCGCTTTCCCCTACCAGCACCTTGTGGGTGAGAATGAAGAAAGCCTCAGGTGGCTGAAGCCAGCATTCGGCGTGGAGCGGAGCATCATTATCTCCAGCGTGTCTTCTCGGGTGGGAGAATCTAGCGCGAAGATCTAAAGCAGCCAGGATCGAAGAATGCTGTGAAGACCTGCTGGCTGGAGGAGGGAGAACTAGGAGGTGCCGAAGAATGAGGAATTTCAGGGAGAAGTTTTGTATTTGGAGAGAAATTGTCTATATTTATACGAATGTTCATTTTCATGCAATGTGTGTAATACGCTTTGAAATATATGTTGTTATAAGCTGAATCTGCTGCCTTAAAATTCCTGTGTTGAAGTGTGATTTGAACCCCCCAGTGTGATGGTGTTTGGAAACACCCGTTTTCCCCCAGTGTGATGGACTTCCACAGTGTGGTATTGTCTGTGAGCTCCCCCTGTGGTGATATTTGGACCCCTCCCCCCAGTGATTGTACTTAGGACCCCCCCCCCCATGTGATAGCACTTGGAAACGAGGCCTCAGGGCTGGATGAGTTCGCCGGGGTGAGGCCTCCGCGGCTGATGTCTAGCCCTTGTAAGACGCGACGCCAGAGGGCTTGCACGCTCTGCACACGTGGGGACGTAAGACGACAGTCATCCGCAGACCAAGAGGATCCCTCCTGAGAAAGAGCTCGTCCAGGTCGACCTCCAGCATCCGGAACCGGGGCTGTTTCTGTTGTGAGTCACCCCGTGGGTGGCGTGGACTTCTCGCACCCCGAGCGTCGTGTGTGGGCGGGCAAGCGGGTTTCCCGTACCAGGCCTTCTCCCTTCTGCTGCTCACTGTGTCTCACTCCCTCTTTCCAACTTGTGGGAAATGTGTTACAAATAAAGCAGAGGTATGTTTAATCACGTACAATGAGGCTCTTCTGTTTTCCTTCTGCCAAAACTACTTTTGAAAATACCTGTATCTCATTGGGACAGCTTTGTGGTGTGGGATGCATGACCACATGGGGCCGGTCTAAGAGAAAACCAAACTGGGAGCTGGCCATTTTAACTGCCCTTCCAGATGGGTAAAGAAAACATTTTTAAGAACCACCATTTGGAGCAAATGGAAAAGCAGAGGGCCCAGCGCATGCCCACTCCCTCGCCCCCTTCTGCTGGCTGTCGGCCCCCTCCACCCTCTGCTCCTGGTCGGCTGCAGTCTGCCAGCTTGGCTGCAGGTCCCTTGGAAGTCTCGGAGCGGGGGGAGGAGCAAGAGGACCCCCGCTCATACTCAGGTGCTGCTTTAGCTACTTTTCTCTTGTTGCTGGCGCAAAATACCTGACAGCGAAAGTGAAGGGGAGGTGTACTTAGCTCACGGTGTGTGCAGGGGTCAGCCCAGAATCAGCTGGCTCCAAGGCAGGGTGGCGTGGTGAGGGGCAGCAGCTCACGGCAGCGGAAGACCGCAGAAGCAGCAAGAGCGGGTGGGGGCGACACTGTCTTCCTCCCTTACGTCCTGCGCAGGCTACCTGCTGCAGCCGGAGTCCCAGCCCTAGCCAAGGAACCAATGACAAACTCTAGACTCAGCCGCCTCCGAAAAGCCTGCCCACCATGACCTCCTGAGGCTTTGGGGGACTTCCCGACACAACACATAGCAGGCACTTTCACCCGTCTCGTCTCATGGCTCAGAGTATTTCTTGGAGCTCATGGACGTGTCAGGAGCGCGTGGGATGGTTGTGCGTGGCCATCTTGGAATTGGGTATGAGAACTGCTTTATTTCTAGCCAGAAATCCCCATCTTATTAGGTCCACTCACAGAACGCTTAGAGCACGTGGAGGCATTTCTGAGGGAGGTTCAGGGCACAATGCCTGGCTCTGGGCAGTTCCAAAGAGCGGGCTCGGCCGCTAGTCCTGAGCACTGACCAAGGAGACAAGCCGCGGTGAAGGGCGAGAGAGGAGCTGTTGGCAGTGTGGCCACACGGGAGAACAGGGAAGGCTCAAGGTCTGCCTTCCAGTACTTGACAGGGATTGGGGGCTTCTAGGGAGCAAAGGCAAGGATTGGGGTCTCCACGGCCGGGGGATTCTCACAGCTGGCAGCATACGTTAGCCTGATGATGTCACGGCCTGGTGTCCGGCATCTCGACTGGTGCTATCAGATCTGAGCGAGCTATCGTCCTTGGAGGGGAAATCTGGAGACAATGGCTCCTGCTGCAGCGGGTGGCCTCAGTTCCTGCCGTGGGGTCCTTACCTGCTCTCGGCTAGTGTCCCCATCATTGGTGGTCTGTGAGGCACTTCTGGAACCCAAGGTGGCTGCCACTTGAGCATAATGACCTGAGACTTGCAGACCTTGAGGTAAGGGACCTGGAACTGGGCATTGCAAAAGCTGGCCGCTGGCCGTCGTCATAGTTCTGTCATTGCTGAGACGGAACATTTGACATTCTAAAGTTGGAGGATGGAAGGGGCACTGTGCCTCGCAGCTTGTAGAGGTGTCATCTGTAACCAGCTGGCTCCAAGGGAGGTGGCATGGCAGAGGGGATCACAGAGGAGAAGCAGCTCCTGGTGCGCAGAAGTCAGCAAAGTGAAGTGGGGAGGAGCGGCAGGCAGGGGCAGCGGCGCTTTCCTGCCCTCGTGACCTGCCAGGCTGCGCGCCCTCGGGGAGGACAGCGCTCACCTGCAGGGAGGGCTTTCCCACGATCCGCACCCCGAGCTGTGCCAAGTAAATTAGTGCACTAGCTGAGTAAGCACACGTCCTTGAGCCCCGTTGTAGGGACCCGTTGGTCTCTCAGTGTGATCTATTGTACCCAGGGAGAAAGGGCAGCAGGAATGAGGAAGACAGACACGAAGACAAGAGCTGCGCTAGGTGGTGACTGTCTGCCTGCTTGGTGAAAGGACCCTCTGAACAATGGGAAGGGCCTTTATTTATCCTTTTACAAAGCTGCGTGTCACAAGGTTGCCTAGAGCCTAAGCCCCCAGAGCCCGGGTAGGATATGTTTCTCAAGACTTAGGCAGTGAGGCCTCATCCCCCCCCCAACATAGGGTCAATTTCAGCTTTAGGGGCTCCCAACACCCAACGTCACACATGACGCCAGCGTCACACTCTAGATTCAGCCACCTCTGCAAGCCCCACCTATAACTGCATGAGGCTTTGTGGGTGCATCTGGACACAGGCTGTAACAGATGTCCCCTGCTACTCCTGGATATTTGCTACTCTTCGTGTTATTTTTATTTTTTGTTTGTTTGATTGGCTGGTTTTGTTGTTTTTTTGTGACAGAGTCTCACTGTGCAGTTCAGGCTGGCCTTGAACTTGCTGCTGTCCTCCTGCTGCGTGCTACCAAGTGCTGGGATGACAGGTATGCGCTGCCGCGCCCGGCCTTGTCCTCAGTCTTTATTTTATTTTAGGGAAGGGTCTACAGGGTGTTTAGGGTCTCACTACGTGATCAGACTCTAGTGATCCACCTGTTTACAGCCTCCCAAGAGCTGGGATGACAGGCACACGCCAGCACACCCAGTCTCAACCACCATCTCAGAGTGCCCCAGGGGCGGGGCCGGCAGGGCAGGCTCAGGGACCGAACTCTACATCTGCTTGCAGGTTCTTTAATCTTCTGAGCTATTTGGCCAGTCCTGGCTTCAGTCTTGAAGGGGGATGAGACAGGCTAGGTAGCTTAAGCGCTAGCATGTCTTGTCCTTACGTGATGAAGCTACTCTTTCCTGTAGTAAGGAGACATGTGATGAAGGCAGGGCTTCTGGGTTCTGTCCTTTTAGCTACCTAATGGGCATCTGCAGGCCTCGCTTCCCACTTCAGCATCATCTTGGCCAACCAGCCGCAGGCCCACGTGTGCTCCTACCTGCTGGGCCTGCGGGGGTTTTCTGAAGATTTCCACTCTTGCTTTGCATGTGTGTATGTGTGCACACCTGTGCGTACACAGTGGAGACTGAACCAGGGCTGTGCAACGGCTGAGCACATGCTCTGCTGCCGGGCTGCACCTCAGCACCTCTGCTCTTACTCTCTTGCCTCTACTGTGCTAACTTTATTGCTCAGATTCTATTTCTGATTTGTTCAGGAACAAATGGATGTCCTTGGCTTGTGACTTTCTTTTCATGTATTTGGTACGGAGTCTCACTACACAGCTCAGACTCATGTGATCCTCCTGCTTTCAGCCTCCCCAGGGCTGGAATTACAGGTGAGCAGCACCACGCCAGGTCTCGGTGGCCGGCTCAGTGCACCTGGGGGTGGGGCCAGTGCGGCATGTGGTGCCAGGGACTGAGCCCGAGTCCCTGTGCCTGCCTAAGTAGGTGCTTAGGCTGCTGAGCTATCTCTCCAGCACGCCACTTTTTCTCTTATGATAGCTCCAAAGTGCTGTTAGATTTCTAAGCACATCTGTAATTATAGATCATAGCTGGTGCAGTGCTGGATCACATACTTTTTATTAATTTTATTAAGAAACAAGTAGCAATGAGACAGTTTCAGAACAGTTTAGTAGGACAGTTTCAATAATTAATACATTGCATAGTGTTTTCTTCTTAGTGGTTATTCACAGTACAAGATGCAGACGTGATATCCTGTCCAAACACTATTAGTGCAAATCTTTCTTCTCATTGAATTAAGAGAAAGTAGCTGTATATCTATCCTAATTAGTTTGTATACACAGATACAAAATGGTCCTTCATTTATATCCCCCTTATTTGTTTAGTTTTGTCAGAGATGGGTATTCCATTGCCATTCAAATATTGCAGGTGTGTGAATTCAGCAAAATAATCCAATACAGTCCACTAGTAAATAATAGTAGTGGGTTATCCATAGGACTGGCAACATCAGAAGCTGTTGACTTGAGCATTTTACAGTTCAGCATATTAATATGGCCTTACTTTTTATACTTCATTTTTATACTCTTCTGCTGGATGGTTAAGACCAAGATAAAGCAAGACTTATATAACAAGAAATGTAACTTTTGTATCTGAGAAAGTCAGTCAAATCCTGAAACCCTGTACTGCAGTTTGTAGATCCTTTGTCAGTGTCAGCCATGTGGATGAGTCAGTCACAGCCATTGCTTGACCAATTTGCTCTCTCACATACATTTTGATATGAAATTTTCCTCATTTCATTCTATTTAAAAGAATATTCCCCTTTCATTTCTTGTTTTACCCATGAGTTTAATGAAAAGTGCAACTCTGCTCTAAAATTTGGGCATAGGGCGGGGCTTGGCGGCACGCCGCGGCAGGCGAGACTGCTTGCTCACAGCGGTGGCGCGCGACGGACAAGCCCGCGGGGAGACAGAGCGCGGCCCGCCGGGAGCGCGCTCGGCCGGGCCCGGCCCGCGCCCCGCCTGCGCGATGCTCTTCTCGCTGCGGGAGCTGGTGCAGTGGCTGGGCTTCGCCACCTTTGAGATCTTCGTGCACCTGCTAGCCCTTTCGGTGTTCTCTGTGCTGCTGGCGCTCCGCGTAGATGGCCTGGCCCCTGGCCCCTCCTGGTGGAATGTGTTCGTGCCCTTCTTCGCGGCGGATGGGCTCAGCACCTACTTCACCACCATCGTGTCGGTGCGCCTCTTCCAAGATGGGGAGAAGCGGCCGGCTGT